GTTCAACTGACCTGAGAGCAGGCCATATCCCCAGGCCAGAGCTAAAGGACAGAATTTGCTTTGCAGCCTAACGGGTAACCTAGCAGAGATAACAGAACAACAGCCAACATTATGAAGAGCAGTATGAAATGTGCATTTAACTGCACACATAGTGGCAATCTTCATTAAAAGACCTTTATTGGGTTCCAACCAAGAAAAGGAGAGCCCAGCATGTTGTACAGACCTGAGAAGAGATGGATCCCAGCCTCAAAAACCCATGCCCTGAACCTACAACCATTTATTCTGACTGACATGGGGGACAAAGACACAAAAAAGGCTGCAAGGATTCCTTTCCCTACTTCTAACATCCCCACATTTCAAAGACAGCCAAGCCTGCTCAGTCAACAAGAAGGGGCAGATACCTCTACAGAAAGCTGCATCCCAGCTCTAGACACCCTGTCCCTAATGAAGTCATAGACACAAAAGATGACGAGCTTGTGTTCAGACATCTAAAAGCTTCTTTGCAGGAGAAGAACCCCACCTTGACTGTCTGCCCACGGCAGACATCCATCATGGGGTGGGAAACTGTTTGAAGTCTCCGCAAGCCTCAGGGTGACTCCAGCATTACCTGCTGCATGCAAGCGAGTATCAGCTACACATCTCATCAGACTCATCAGATCATGCTTCCACTCAAGCAGGATGGCTCCTGATTGAGTAGCTATACTGGCTTTCTTAAATACCCCATTCAACAATCCACCAGTTCATCAACTAATTTTCTAGTCCACCCTCTTCCCTTTTCTTCTCACAAAGCATAATTGTCTCCCCATTCAACTATTCCCTTCCCCTGCTCTGTCAGGTGATGGGATCAGATCTCATCTCTAATACAGATATCTGAAAGCCCACCTGAATCACTGCTTCCCTACTTTGTAGTGTCTTCTGACAATCTTTCTAATCCCGACCTCACTCTCCTTCAAATCTCAACAGCACCTCTTCAGGGCAAGTTTCCTCTTTCAAAGCCTGGCCTTCCTCCCCATCCCTTGTTCCCTTCACTGTCTCAGAGCAAGGAGGCTTTGGATCATGGCCCCTTTTCCAGCTTGAACACACTCTTGCAAAGGTCAGAGAATACTTAAACCAGCCTCTGCTGTGAAGCAGCTGCTTCCAGCAGCTCCTGTGATATCCCAAAACAACAGAAGAGGGCAGAGAGGAGCTGCCAGAAAAAAGCACATTTGCTCTGAAATCCGTGGACACGGTCTGTCCCAGAGTGGGAAGTGTCTGTCATGCATGAAATACCCCTGATTTCTACAGCCAAGGGCTCACGAACAGCACAGCAATGCAGGCAGCTGTGGGACAACTCCAGCCGTGCAGAGCCAGGCCTGTCCAATGTGTCCAGCAACCAGAGCCCTGGCCCTGCTCTCAGCTCTCCCAGCACAATGCAACTGGGAAATACTTGTTACTAAGGGCATCTCAAACATCCTTTTTCCATCCCACAAATCCACAGCTGTGAAATCCTGTTGGAACTCAAAATGTCCCTCAGACATTTTTGGAGGTTTCAGGCCTTGGTCAGAAGCATTTTAGACCCTGGCAAGCAGCTGGAAACAGCTGTATGCTGTGATTTTGAGTTTGAGCCATGGAATGAGTTACCAACTTTGAAGGTGGAACAAGTCACAAAGGGTTAGATAGTATAGTAGAAGCAGTTACAAAGAAGAGGGGAAATATTTTTAGTATTGTACAGGGGGGTTTTAGCACCTGTACAGGGGGGTTTTTACTTTGTACATGGGGGTCAGAAGTTCTAATATGGAGGAAAGTGGGCTGATCCTGTTCTTCCTCCTTCTTCTTTGCCTACATGTTCTTGGTGATGCTGGCACTTATGGATTGGTTAAGAGTAGAAAAGCACATTGTAATATAGGTAGTAGGTATTATATATAACTGTAAACATGTAACACGTAATATATAATATAAAAGATAGCAGCAGCCCTGGGCAGGGGGAGAGAAGAAGAAGACAGCAGACAGAGAGGATGTCAGGAGTGTGTGTGTGTCTGCCTGGGCTGCTGACCAAACAGCCGCAGCCCGAAAAGACAATCTTTTAGACAACTAACAATAAACTGCCTTGAGACCGAACAACAAGAGGCTGCAGAGTCTTTCTTTGGAGGCACGGGTTGGAGGAGAGACTTTACCACCACACAGGACCCCTGAACCAGGTGGGGGTTCCTACAAAATCCAGAGAATTTTCCTTGCTACAGAAGGAGCAGATGACTTGTATTGTATGAAAAGAGTGTTTCTTCACCAGAAAGGTGCAGTTTACTAAACCCCCTTAGTGCCCCTAAGGGCACTGGCAAAACACTCTCAGGCAGGTGACACCCTCCTGAACAGACACAGTGGCAGAGGTGCAATATTCCTGTATATCCCCACAAGAAGGTAAGTACATAGTCCCAGAGCTGCTAAGGGCAACTCCTTGTGGCAATATGCTATTTCTGCCTTAAATCTGACACACACCCTGCATGTCCAAATGAGGAACAGACACAGGGCCTCATCACCTCCCATCTAACATGGCTGCACAGGATCAAATCATTTCCATAGCAAACTGGAAGCAAAAGAAAGAGGGAAATGGCAGAAGCAGCAAGCCCAGAAGAATCACCTGGCTCTGGTCCAGGTAACTCCAGGGCTCAGGAAGCAAATTTCTAATGATCAAGGCTTGCTGGCTGGTTAAATATACTGTCTGTGCAGCACTTCTGCTGTCATTAAATATAAACACTGTATTTATTATTGTGAAGGAATTTCTGTAACATCAGAAACTCACCTCTATCTATTCCTTGCTTTATTCATATACTTTAAGACTGCTGTCAGGGGTTGGGGGGCAGGGAGGGAAAGGAAAAGAGAGAGCAAGAGCATACAAGGTAAATGAACCATGCAATAAAAATTGTTGAAATTGGCTCAGACATCTCCTGATAAGATCACAGAAGCAGAGAAAGAACTGCAGCTCTTCTGGTGAGAAATTCTATCACTGACAAAACACATCCACTCAGGGAAAAAATGAAGTTAAACAGACACTTAAGCACATGAAGTTCTTGCCAAAAAGGCCAATTTTTAAAATACTGAATTCGAGGGTATTTTTGTCTTAATATGATTCTGATCCCAAGAGTCAAGGCTTGCACATTTGGTATCAACACTCCTCTCTGAAAGTTCATATAAACCAGGACTCACAGTATATGGATCTCGCACACTGAGAGTGTGAATCTGGAGGCAAATTTGCCTCTGTAGCTAAAAAAAAAAATCAGTCTGTCTCACAGCTCCCCACACCACTTCATCCCATGAAGTTCAGCCCCAAGGTGAAATATTACCATGAGTGTCCTTAGATCTTTTCAAGATGCTATTGGCAATTTCATTATAGACTGAAACTATTCATTCAGAGATCTGTAGAGTAGCTTGGCAATTGCCATCTCGTAGGAAGGGAGGGCTTTCCTTGGGGCAGCCACAAAGTCCTCAGCACCAGCTGTGAGCCCTGCTCCTGAGTTAATGGCCTATCCCCAGTGCCGCAGAGTGGCTCAGCCAGCAGAGAGGCAGCTGCAGAAAGCACTTCCAGCTCCTTGAGGACTTGCATTGTTCTGTCTGCGTGATCCACCCCTGTGTGCAAATCCTAATCCTTTGCATACCTCATAGACACTGACTACCTGGGTTTGTTAAATGTTTGACTTGCTATGGCAGCAGGATAATACTTACTGACTCCTTTTGACAGCTCTTCTGTTTGTTCACAAAGTGAAGTGCTTCATGTTTTAGAGATCATGTTAGCCTTTTAGCATCCTCCAGGAGGTAAGGCCCTCCCTGCCAGCCCTCTCAACTTGACTGAAGCCAAATCTGGTGAAAAGGAAATCCTGGCACCCAACACCAGCCGCAAAAGTAATGTCCCACAAAGCAGCACTTTCAGTAGCAGCATACAGAAGCTCCTCACCGCTGTCTGCTAAGCATTCCAAACTTCTCCCACAGAGCTGAAACCCAACAGCAGTCCCCATACAACATTTTCTCCATGGCCCTTGTGCAGGACAGAGCATAGTTTGTGGTGACAGAGAGCTCCGTGCAGTGACACCAGTCTTTGCTCCTCCTGCAGAGCAGGAGCACACACAGCTCGAGAGAAGGAGCTGTGTTCTTTGCTCAGAGTTCCCACGTCCCCCTAAGCCAGGCTCTCCCTGGACATGGCACTCTGCAGCCATCAGTATCTTTCCCCATGATGCTGGTGACTACTAGTACTGCCAAGCAAACAGGCAGTTTCCAAAAATGAACATAAACCATTCCCAATTTTTAAAGAAAACCCAGGCAGTAATGAAATTCTCAAAAGAAAACTACACTTTGACTCCAGCAACTAACCAATGAGAAATGCCTTTAGAACTGAGTTGGCCCCACACTTCCACCGGCTTCCTTGAACCTAGAAGACACACAAGCCTTTCCCAGAAGTCAGAGTGGCTCAAACAGCTGTAGTTAGCTACTAGCTAGGGAAGCTTCCTGTACCTACACACCTACAAAAGCACCCACAGTTCTGAGGAAAGATCAAACCAGAGTTCACCAGGAGGTTGTTCTAGTTTGAAATAGGTCACTGGGTGTTGGGATCTGCGGTTTAAGCAACGCATGCTTTGGGAGCTCGGAGGCCACAGCTGCTCCCTCTCTGGTGGAAGGCGAGCCCATGGCTAGAGCCTCCCGCGGGCATCCTCGGGGAGGCCGCGCTCGCTGCCAAGCCCAGCTCCGCTCCATCACACCTCCCGCACCACTTCATCTGCTCGGGAAACGCTCCTGCTTCCTTCTGCCAGTACTTGTCTCTCAGGCAGGCACTCCTGCCAAGAACCCTAAAGCAGTTGCAAAGCTCTCCCAGTTGCACATGCAAACCCTCTTAAGAAACAGCCAGAAGGTTTTGCCTAATGTAAGAGCGTAAACAAACTTGTTACATGCTAATCACCAGGTAGGCCACACACCCTTCCCTTCCCCCAGCCCCTGAATCTGCTAAAAGGACAGGAAATACAATCGTGGTCACATACCTTTGCTTCCTCGTTGATGTCCCAGGTAAAGGATATGGCGTTGTATGCGATCTCCTCAATGTTGCTGATGGTGTTGAAGCTCTCCTTGTAGTCAGCTGTTGGAAAGAAGGGCTCATGAGAGAGAGGAAGAGGAGATACTACCTGAGTCCTTAATCCCATGAAGCAGCCAGAAACTGTAATTCTTCAGCAGCCCCTTCGGGGCAAAAAAAAGCTGAACTGTCCCTTAAGAATAGATCTTTAAAGAGCCTGGAAATGGCGCTCACACACAAAAAAAACCCCTCAACAAACAGAAGGAAAAAGCAAAATGGGACTTGCAAAAAAATGAAACTAGAAACTCCATCAACAAAGGCATATCCCAAATGTGAGGTGTTCTGTGCTATGTGCGGGGAAACTCTACCCTGTATGGCAAGGACATAAGCTCTCAATAAAACTCCTTCAATAACAAACAAAGATTTGCATGCGCGTCTGCTTTAAGTGCCAGGTGATTAATCCCTGCTTTGATTCACAGAAGGAAGGGACGAGGAGTACAGCCCAGCCTTCAGCCAGAGCAGGCTGGAACCCAGCCAGCCTCAGCCTTGTCTGGAGGCAAGTGGAAATTTGCAGTGTCTTCTTTTTTTACATGTACCAAAGACGAGTTGTGAGCAAAGCTGTGGGAAGGAGGATCATTAGTCTTGAGGTATTTCTACAAGGATCTTATCCTTTGAATTAAAACACTATTTAGGACAGCCACTGAGACTGCAACCTGTGATTTAGCTACAAACACCAGAATATTCTAAAAAAACCTGTTGTCTGGAGGGGACTGTTGGATCTCCCAATACAAAACCCTAAACCCCACCAATCAAAATCCTCCAAAAAATCAGCTTCTTTAATGAGTCCTAAAAACTATAGCATTAGCTCCAACAACAAACTGTCTCTGGACTTTCAGCAAAGCTATGGAGAGCAGAGAGAGGGATCCAGAAGTTCCTTAAAATAACAAAGCTTTAGCAGAAAACTGAACCTTGCCAAGGAATTATGTCTTAAGTCTGACATAAGCAATGAGAGTGTTCCTTACCTATGTCAATGCATCTTTGTTTGGCTGTGTGCTGTCTTGAGTGCCAGTATTTCCAGTGCCTGAGCTGATCTTCCCTTGTTTTGTCTTCAGCAAACACAACCATAATGACACTCTGAAAGGAGAGAGGAAAAGATTAAAAAAAAAAGCAAACAAAGAGAAATAGAGCAATGGCCAGAGAGTACACTTGGTTTGGAGCTTTAGGCTTTTTCACTTGAGGCACTACAGTTTGCCTGGCACACTGCTGCCAAACAGGAAGGCAGACAACAGCACTTTCTGGGTCATAAACAGAGATGAGCAGAACTGCTCTCCTAACTAGATTCAGGGATCTCATTTCAGGTGTTGCATCACCTTTACACAAGTGCTGACACCGCTTCTTAACAGTCTGAGCCAGGATGGGCTGGTCTGGCAGTAGGTGGACAGCAAAGGAACGAACACTGACGTAAGAGCACAGCTCAGCTGGCCTTTGTGCTGATGCTCTGGTCTAGATTGCTGCACTTTGGAGAGTTTAAGGTTACCATCATACACACCCTCGTCCCCAAGAAACCACAAGGGCTGCCACTCACTCGGACTTTACTGATGGGGTGATGAATTCCTTCAGTGCTGCTGACTTCTTTCAGTGTGATTGGGTAAAATTGACCTTTATTCAGGTAAGTCATTGTGCTGTCCCCAGGCTTCTGTCGGAGGGACTTGGAGGCTTCCAGAGTGTATTCAAAGTTATTCCTATAGAGTGAAGAGGGTAGTGATTGCTAAGGCATTTTCCTGGAAAGCTGATTAAACATCCCACATTTAATTTGGAGAAATTCCAAAGTTGTTAGCTGACTCATTAAGCCATCAACAAGCAAAGAAGTTGGAAAACAGGATGAGTCCCCTTTTCAACCATTTCCTTCATGAATGAACATTTAAGAGAAGTTCTTGGCAAGGTAAATCCCAAGATACATCAGCAGGCAAGACTGAAAGATCCCTACTCAGGCTGAGAGCAGCAAGCTACCCTCACCAAATAGAGAAGCATCTATTAGCAATTTAATTAAATGCACAAGCTAATAAGCTACTCTGTGGCCATCACCCTCTTGGTCAACTGCAACTACCAAACAACTAATTTGCTCCCCTCCTCTGGAGTTTAGGTGAGTTTTATTTCTCCTATTTTTGCTGTAGATTTCCAGCAGACTGAGAGAAAGACAAGCACACCAGGGAGAGGGGCACAGCTGGAAGCAAACTTCCAGATAGTATTGCCCCTTCCCACAGCACACAGATTTGGTGCAAGGACCATTACTGAAGATGGGTGGTATTTCCAGTCCTCTAGGTAGTTTTCCTTAAAGTATTTGTTTTCTTTAAAGATCCAGTTGTATCTTTACAGCTACCATTTTCAACTGTGAAATTCAAATTAGCAGACATAATTGTGGGTTTGAGACCCACAACCCCCAACCCCCCTCCCATCCAACTGTGACTCAGTGCAAATTGGCATGAGTTGTATCGCTTGCTCATGGACAACTAAGAGAATAGGAGAATACGGGCATATGGGAGCCTGAAATCATTACCCAGAAATGCTGTCAAAAACATAATCTTCTGAATTCATGTTGGCCATTCGGAGATTCAGCTCAGTAGGAAAGAAAACCTGGAGTAGACAAAACAACAATTAACACTGCAGCAAAAAGAGAAGTCAATAGTAAATAGATACTCCTTACCACAGAACTTCTGTCAGGCAAATTGTTCACAAGATAACAACTGATTTTTGGTTTCAACAAACAGGACACTTGAATAGTGTTTTAATCCAAAACTTTTGGGTGTCAACTAAGCAAGCCTTAAGCTTCCAAGTCACCTTAAGACAAAATTTTAAGACTTTCCCAAATCTCAAAGGGCATATCTACACAGCTCCTTGAGGTTTTGCTTAAAAATCAAAACATGGTTGTTATTTTTAGTTGGTATCATAAAACAAAACCTCAGCTTTTCTCACTCAAGGGCCCTATATAATCCAACTATTTTCTACGGATACACACCACACCTAGAAACTGGCAGCAAGGAAGCTTACATACAGTCACTTCACTTTGGTACCTGCAAAGGCACCACAGAGTGCTGAACTCTTGCAAAACCTGGCTCTATGGATCGAGACAACTATTTCCACACTCTGCAAGCCAAAGCCTCTGTCACTAGTAAGATTAGTCATTCAATTTGATAATGATTTCATGCTGTGAAGGTTTTATTTACTAAGTTTTAATTATGCACTTTTCTGGGAAAACCTATTTCTAAGCCACTGGACAGATTTCTGACTCATGTAACAAGACCAGTTAAAGACAGAACTGGATCTCTCCATCCAGATCAAGACACACACACACACACAGAGCAGCTGCCTCTCCTGGTACCTCTTGCACACCCTCCTTGAAAGTCTCCGAGAAGGTGGAGTCTGGCGTTCGCCTTTGGGAGTTCTGAGGCTGGGTGTTGGAGCTGAACTGGTCGGGATTGAGGTTCCTGTCGAAGACCACCACGCGCTCGGGCGGCTCGGGGTGGTACACGCTGGGTGGGATGCCCACGGCAAAGCCATGGGGCTGTGTCTCCGTTTTGATGGAGTGCGTGGGCATCGTGGCAATGGAAACGGTGACCGTTGTGTCTGGGGTTGTGAGGTGGCCTCGCTTGTCCATGCCCATCTGGGGGGTATGTGGAAGTACAATATTGAAAGGCACATTTTTCAGAACCTGGACCCTGTTTTCTCCAGCAGAAATGAGCGACTGTTCTGTCACGTTTGGGATGCTGTTCCTTAAAAGGGCAAAAAAAATCAGGCATAAATTATATGGCTTATTTTCTCATTACCCAAGTGCTAGAAAAGACTTTCAACTTTTTGGACAAGGACAGCTGACACAAACTCTCCTGCTTGTACAGAACAGCTCAATCCTAACCTGAAAAGCTGAGAAACTCATTGAAAAATCCCCCATAACTCCTCTCTCACTGTATATCATCCCACCTTGGAGAGTAATTACCCTGGAGCAAAGGGTGAGGGTTCACATCCCAGATCCTCACAGCTTGTAAAACAGCAGTCCAAAACTAAGCACTTCCCACCACACACTGGCACACGCAGGCTCCACGAAGCTGCTCTTTGGCAGAGGGAGAAGGACTGACAGCAAGGTTGCTGCTCCTCTGCCCCAGGACTGTGCACCATCCAGGAAGCACTAATAGGAAAATTACATCCCTCCTTTCATGCACATCCCCCCAAGAAAATCTGTGCCAAGATTCCTGGGAGTGGTTTGCATAACTTGCCACTCTCCACCCCACCACACTCACTTCTGCCAGGACAACACCGAGATCTGTGGCTGAGCTGACCTCATAGCTAGTAACCACCAAGTCAGCCTGCCCTCTCTTTCTCCCTCCCCACAAAGTGGTCCTGCCCCCTCCTTTACACCAATTCAGACATTCCCTTGCCTCCTTGGTGAGCCAGTTCAGCTTGCCTGGCTGGCAGAAAACTAGCCACCGTTTCTTTCCCTGTTTGGTAATGAATCAGTGTGAGACCCAATCTGGTTCAAGAGGAGCAGTGGGAATACATAGCTGGGAACCAGCCTGCTCTTCTTGACAACAAGTCATTCAATCAGCTCAGCCAGACCACAAAACCTCATCTCAAGTCCTTAAAGCATTCTAGTCTGTCCAAAGGAAGAGGATGGTAGGAGTGCAAGTCTGGCTTGAGTGAACCTCCCATTTGTTATAAACACCTAATCACTATCATCTGCTTGGAAGGCACAAGAGAGAGAAGGCAGGTAGGGGAAGCAGGACAGAAGTTCCACAAGATACAAAGGAAGTCCCCAGACAATACAAAACCAAATCACAGGCACTTTGAAGTGCTTCACAACTGGCTCATGCATGACACAGTAATGCTGCTAGTACCCGAGAACAAAAATCAGCAGAGAGCAACTGAAGTTAACTGCATGAAAAATGAAGTGTCACCAGTGACCGCAGCCTGGGGGGGGGGGGTGCCTGTGCTACCAGGTTGCCTAATTTTAGAGAGCAGCTTTTGCTAGGCTGACTATATGACACCAGCACACTAAAAGCAGAACGGCACTGAGCAGCAGTTTGAGCCTCAACTCTCCACACCACGGCTCAATCCCCATCCTGTTCCTGGGGCAACACAGGAATCTGAGGCATAGAGTAAAAGCTCACAATTTCTCTCTCCCAGCACATCACCACAGTGCAGCAAGTTACTTTCTTTCAGCAGCTCTGATGGCCTAGGAGGGAAAGGAGGAAATAGAGAAGCAATAATAAAAAATAATACCTTTTGCTATGGTCTTGTTCAGGATGTTCTACCTCAGGCTTAGCTGTTGAAGATCTCCTTTCCCTTGGAACCTGAGAAATTTAAGACATACTATAATTCCATTCTTCCTCCCCTACAAAAAAAAATAGCTCCTTAAAATTTGGTAAAATTAAGGAAGTCTTGCTTTGGATGCCAGTCACTACTTGCATTACAGCTTAACCCATGTTCACACGGCTTTGGGATGCCAGGGCAGCCCCAGGAGATGCCCCACAGATCCCAATGTAGCCAACTCGGTCACCTGTGTCAGCCCTGAGCTCTTGCCAGTACCAGGTGGAGAGAATACCAGTGCAGAAAACAATCATCCATGGCTGGAGCACCTGCCCTGGGGTGAGCAGGACCAAGAGGAGATTTCCCAAGGTTTGCTGGCAGTGCAGGTTCTCACCTCTGCAGGCTGGGAGAGTTCAGCTTCTGAATGAGCTCAAAGCTTGTGAAAGGATGCTGTTCCACTTCCCTAAGGACACATGCTCTCTAGGCCATTCCCTCTAAGATCACTTGAGGCTCTCCCTTCTCCTCAGTGATCAGAGAATTTGGGGAGCACCATGTCCAATAAGCATATTGAGACACTACAGCTCATATTTGTACATGGCCACATAAAACATACTGGTCCAAACTATATCAAACCCTTTATAAACAAAATGTAACCAGCACTCTGGATTTAAGACAGCTCAGTACTGCTTCTTGTATTTTATGCCATGGACAGGATTTGCCCTGAAAAGACATCAATCAAACAAGTCACCTTGCCCAGACATGTGCCATTTTCCTGGCTGCACTGCAATACCAAGGCACACAGTAGAAGGGGAACTCTTGGAGCTGTGGTGGCTCAATTCCTTGCGTGGAGCACATAATCAGCACCCCAGCAACCCAAACAGCCCTTACAGCTGCTGGTACAAGCCCGTGGTGCTCTGGTCCCCTCAGCCACATTGCAAGTCTACACAAGCTCTTCTGCCAACCCACACGTAAGGCCCAGGACTTCTGTCACCCTCATCACGCCTCCTGAACAGGTAAAGCAAACATCTTCTGGTGTATATATGGAGGAGTAAACTCCCACCACTCTGGTTCACCAAAGCCTGTTCAGATCTGCCTCCATTTGCCAGCCTGGGTCCAGGGTGGGGAACCACTTCAGCATGAGGCAAAGGCTGAGGGCACACCAGCACCAACAGTGCTCTTCTCTACACAGCCCTGACTGAAAACTATGTCCTCATTCTTACACATAACCTGGAATCCCCAGAAACACCAGAACTGTTCAATTTCGCACAGTAACCAGCAAAATTTGGAGAATCTCTAGCTGGAGACTGCTGGGAGGCCAAAACTAATTAGTCACCAAAAAAGAAGAGTTTTCCAAGCTGTATTTGGCCAACACTCCCAAAAGAACTGTTATCAAAAATTTGTTTCCTATAAGGCCTTATTAACCACAGTTGAGCAAGCCCAGTAGTTAAATGGAAGGAAATAAAAATTTTTTGGTTTTACTGTTTTGTTTTTTTATAGGAAGGTGATCTCACCAGCTGCCTTTAATATGCAGAGGGGGCGTGTTAGAAATGCCTCAACGTCATCTCCCTATAACATTATTCCATAACACCCCTCAATAAACCTTTCAACCTCCAGCCATTCTGCTTTACCCAAGTGTGCAGCATACCTGTTTTCTTCCACCAATTTTTTCTGTACACCCACTGATACCCAAATGTAAGAGGAAACCCTGAATTAGACATTAATGTACAGTAAATCCCTTCTGCTTTGCCAAGCATGAAGGATCAACATCAGCATTCTTTTTGTAATCTACAGGTCTAGAAATCAAAATTGATCTTGTGGATTAAAATAGTTCTGGTGAAAGCTGTTGTTCATTTCTTTTTTCCCCAAAAGCATAGTAAACACAGGCACAAAGCAGAAAGGCAGTTTTCTCACAAAACCATCTGAATAACAGCCACATCAGTGAGTCTGTGGCATCTGTCGTGTGTGTGTGGAGTGTTAATCTCCATAGTAAGTATTACAAGAATATTTTGATATGCAAGACATATTCAACTCTTAAAAGGGCAGGCAAGGGTTTTGTCTGCACCAGGCAATCTCTCCTAGTACTTGAGGAACATAACAGAGGCTGGCAACTGCACTCACTCTTTTTAAAAGACACAAGCCAAAGTGCCAGGTAGGAGAGCCAAGTCAGCCTCCTGGCCTTCCTGCATGCTCAGCAAAGAAAAAACAGGCATCTCCACCTGGTGAGCCAGGCCACCATAACACAGGCGTCTCAACACAAGCAGGACCCCTCCCTGCCTGGAAATGCCTGCTGGTCTCCACTGACCTGGCTAGAGATAACTACCCTAGCTTATACTTTTGGTATTTGGGAAACAAAGCTCAGCAAAAGGCACCCTATGCAGACCAGAATATTATCTGACTTCTCAGTTCAGCTGCAGGCACCTAGGAAGGCACAGGTCTCTGAGAAGACCATGAACACTGGGGAAGACAATCACTGCTATCAAAGGATTAACAGGTTGCAGCAGCTGAAGCTCTCTGAGGGTTGGAGGGATGCAGACAGCAACTCTTTCAGGTGGACACTTCAGCCCCACATACCCCCAAAAACCTGTAATTATATCTTGGTATCACAGCTCAGTCTAAAGTAACACAACAAAGCCCCAGCAAAAGCCAAAGGTCCACCAGAATAGGGATCATGTGAGAAAAAGGAGTTTCTTTCTCCATGCATATTTATATTCAGACAGGAATACAGTCCTAAAGTGTCACTCTATTTCTATAACTCATTGCCTTTTGCAGAACCTGGGGTCAACAGAAAAAGTGCTACTCAAGTTGAAAAGCAGCAAAGTGCTACTTAACTTTTACATCAAGATCATGGGGATCTTATTTTACAGATCTAAAAATAAAACAAATTTTCAGAAAGAGAGACATAGGGCTTTTTCAATTTAAAACCCACACGGTTTAAAGTCCTTGTGACCTGTTCACAGCTTCTGTAAAATCCTCTAGCAAATGACAACTTTTCCACAGGTGGAACATGAGCTCTGCTGCTCCCAGAGAAAAGCCAGGCCAATCTACCTTGTAGTAATCATAGAGCAGTCCGAGGGCAGCTGCACTGTCTTCATCCCCATTGATGCTCATCATAGCTTTGGTAGCTGCTGTGAGGGGATTTTCAAGAAAAGTTTTCCAGGCCTCATCTTCATTGGTGTAAGGACGTCTCTGAGAGTAGAGAGAGTCATTCTGAAGAACCAACACGGGTCTTTTACTTGAATCATAAAAAAAGAAGAAATAAAAAAAGCCACCTGTTAGAACACATGAGAAGCATTCCAAAAGTTCTTCAAAATCAGCTGCCCCAGTTTCATGGGATTCGTACTCTGATTCAGTGTACTGCAAGGATTAGTCAACACAAAAAGCCCAGAAACTTAATTCTGATCTCACTCATGCTCAGAGTAAATCAGGATTAATTTGACCAAACTCAGATGGATTACACCAGCCTCTACAAAAAGACAAAGCCATGTTAAGAGCACAACTGACCTGCCCATGCTCTGAACCCAACCCAGAAAGAGTTACACACTTTCTAGCCAAACACCTACAAAGCCTCCAGCACATCCTATGTAAAACTGCCAAGCTACAACCTGATCCAGTTCTCATGTGTAACTAGAAAACGTGCATTAACAAAACATCTCTTTTCTCCAGTGCTTTCAAGTGTTTTCACTCTCAGAACATATCTTAAAACACCACCCAGAAGCTATTGATAAGGTACAGATGACATAAGGAAATTAGTAAAGGGGAGTTCAAATCTATTTGGCAGCGGGTTTTTTTCTGACAAGGGGAAAAAACCCACAACTTACTGCCTGGTTACCGTTGAAATAATCCAGCACACTAGTTTGAAACACACTCAGATGAGTGAAGAAAAAGGAAAAATCTGAGTTATTCCCTTTGTGCTCTAGTATCTATATAAAAAATTATGTTTACTCTGAACATTTGGAGATCGCTGGGTACCAACAAACTCCAAAATGACTTGGATATTTTGTCCACAGATAAAAGCAAGATGTGTAGAAAACATTGTCCTGACAGCCTAGAATAAAAACTTAATATTTTTCTATTGGTTCTACTGGTAAAATATATGCTTCATCTTTTAAGTTAACTCAAGCTAATTTTTAAATCTTACATTTAAACTAGTTCAGTTTTCTTTCCATTGCAAGATTAACATTAGTTTACTGCAGATGGGCTGGGGCAGAAGGGGAAGCTTTTTTACTTTCCTTAATCCCAAATTTGACATTTTTAGCGAATTTGCCATAGTTAAAATAGAAAAGTAATTATTTAAAAACAACTAACCCCACAAAAAGCCCTCACCACCTTCACATCCTTTTCATAGTAGGGAAGCCTTCTTTTCATCTATTTACCCAGATACATTTAGAGACCGAAATACACTACAAATACAAAAAGTTGTGAAATAGAAAGTTGTGAAATACTCTAATCACTATAATCAGCTTAGCAGTATCCTACATTTATCACCACCTTCTACCAAAAAGATTGCAAAGCAAATTATGCATTCGACCCTTTATCAGTTACACAAGTCACCCTGGCTGAGCTGCCATCGGACAGCCTGGCTGAGCTGAAGGCACTGAAAGCAAGTGGGAGTTTCCAGGACTTGTAAGAGCACTCTGTGGCTATAAATCAGTATTATGTAGTTGGAAGAAGAGCAAACAAAAATGACAAAAGAGACAAGTTCTTGCACCAAGCCCTTTCTTTAGGTCTTCATTTGTGCACCTGCCGACAGACACCCAAATGCAGAGGACAGCAACTTTCCATCGGAGTGAGACGACCCACAGCACACAAAGCAGAATCTTCTTTGGGGACATTGTACAAGCTCCTGTTCTTACACAACATGATAAAAGAATCCTCAAATAAACATAGCAAATGGGAAAATCCTCTAGTTAAACTCACAGAGAAAAGGCAACTGAAGTAACCTGGGTGCAGTTCCCTTGATTCATCCCCACCAAGCTGAAGGGCGAAGTCAGCTTTGCTGAGCTCCCAAGACCACTATGCCGATTCCCTCCAGGAACACAGTACTCACATGGGAAGGGAAAATCATCAGAAAACCAAAAATACTGAGAACAAAAGCCTCAACTATCCAGAAGCCTAGTGAATGCAAGACCTATGTATTTTTGTATGATTTCTTTATTATTGAAACTCTAAAATTCAATGCTCATTGCCCTAAAAGTAACCCACCCACCTAAAAAAGCATAGAAAAAGTTATCTGCAGAATTATGAAGAAACGCAGTGTTTGGCAGGAACTCCATCCTTTAGGAGAACCACAGCTTCTTTCAGGAGAATAAGAACATATTGATATGAGAAGGCAAACACATCTTTTTTTCCTAAGTTTCAGAACATAATTGCCATGCTGATCTGCTCACAGAGTAGTAGAAGTCCAGCAGAGGCAGAAAATTAAGCTTCATACAGCAGTTCTAATAATTTCCCAATTTTACTTTCCACTTGACCACACTGGAAGCAGAGAAATACTACAAAAAGCAGAGACTCTCTGCCTGTGAGGCTTCCCCAGCCTGCGATGTCCTGTGTTCAAACCACAGAAACTATTCTACCTTCCTTCACTGATCCAGAACCAGCGTCCTGCCCCTCACCCTGCACCTTACCCTGTGACATTCAGAGCAGTGCAGCTGTGCCTGCTCCTGCACGGAGCACACCTCTAATGCTGAGGCACAACCGAAGATTTCTGTCATTGGCCTCTGTGCGCCAGAAAAGCAAAGTGCATGTACCCAAATTGCTACGACCTCATCTACTAAATATCACTAGAAATAAAAACACCTATGAAAAATCCTAGTCAGAGACATGAGTTAGTGAGCTGCTGCATTGGAGTCCTCTTCCTAGAAAGTAGCACGTTGAAACAAAAAGTTGGGTTTAAAATCCTACACATTCCCTAGGAAAGAAGTGCATTTGAGTCACCAATTCAAAGTATAGAAATTTTAAAATCGGTTCTTGAAATCCTATTACTTCAGAGCTACCCCATTTTCTGGCGCTTAGGTGTCCACTGTCAGCAGATGGACACGGTGACAAGTGCAGCAGCAGACTCGAATCCTTAAGCACAGCCTGGGATCCGCTTGAAGGCGACGTCTCGTATTCAACACCACGAAGTTACAGAATAAACACACCTCGAGCTCAGCTTAACTCTTTCAGGACCCCAGCTCCGGGGTCGCGGCAGCCGAGCTCGCCGGGAGCCGCCCTTACCTGCCGAAGTCCACCTTGCCGGAGGGATGCGCCTCGTAGAAGTCCATGGGGCCGCTGCGGCCGCCGGGCAGCGGCGCGGGGGCTCAGCCCGGCTCCCTCGGCCCGGCAGCTCCTCCCGACGGCGGGGCCGCGGCCGCCGCCGCCCGCACTTAAGGCGCGGCCGGCGGGGCGGGGGGCGGCCCCCCGCCTCGCTGCGGGTGTCGGGTTTCAAAGCCGGCCCAGCCCCGGCGCTCGCCCCGCGGGGCGGGGTGGCCGCCGGGGTCCCCCCGCAGCGCCGCCGGCTTCCCTCCGGGGCTCGGCCCCCGCTCCCCCCGCCATCCCGCACCGCCCCGCCGCACCTCGCGTACTGCTCCGGGAGAGCGGCGGGCGGGCCGGCGAGAGCGGCTTCTCCGGCCCGGCCCCCGGGCGGCGAGCCCCTCTCGCCGCAGCCCCCCGGCGGGGCGGCAGCACCGGTCGGACCGGACGCGGTACTCCTGCCCCCGCCCGGCTCACTCACTTGTCGTAGTCCTGTGTCATGTCTGGCGGAGGCAGCGGGCGGCAGGACTGGCCGGGCGGGTCGGGAGGAGCAGCGCCGCGCACCCGCCGCTCCGACGGGTTTTGTCGGCTCCTCTCGCCCGCTCAGGTGCTCCCGCAGCCGCAGGTGGACGCGCGCCGCGCCGCGCCTCCCATTGGCTGCCGCGGCCCGAGGGGCGGCGCCGCCGCGCCCCCATTGGTCGGACGCGCTCGGGGGCGGGGCCGGCGGTGTGAGGGCTCCGCGGGCCGGGACAGAGCCCCGAGCGCGGGACAGGCCGGAGCGCCCTGCCAGCCTTCCGCGCTAAAAATGGGATTCCCTTCCTCTCTCTCCCCTCCCATGTAACTTTATTTCTTTTTCATTTACTACATCCACTCTTAGGAAAATCTAAACTCGCCACAATCGTATGAATTATCTTTACTACAGTCTTAAGCTGTGCCACGGAAGGTTTACGTTGAACATTAGGAGGAATGTCTTTGCAGAAGGAGCGATTAGACATTGAAATGGGGTGCTCCGGGAGGTGGTGACCTTGTCCTGGCAGTTTTTAAGGAAAGGCAGGATGTGGCACTCAATGCTCTGGTCCATCTGACAGGGCGGTGCTTGGTCATAGGTTGGACTCGATGATCTCAGGTATCTTTTCCAACCTAATCGATGCTGTGAATTTGCACAAGCACTGCATCGGCTGCTAAAGGGCAGCAGATCCATGTGTTATTCGCTGCCTCTCAGATCAACCCGGGTTTGGGAGCAAGGGACACTTATAATGTGGTTAATGCTGAAACTGCTTCAAAATGCTCCAGTGTAACACTACCAGCAACATCACAAACATCAGATTTATCCAAACTGGCATGCATGAAGGTAAATCAGAAAGATCTTGAGTTTCTCCTTGAGAAATAGGGGTGGGAGGTTGCTTGTCTAAGTAACAAGTTGAATCAAACCCATATAGCAACAGTACTATCTATCATATGTCAAGATGCTTCAGATAGTTACTGTAATTTAAAAGTATGCTCACTAATAAGAGGTCTCTCCTTCTAGGTCAAAATCTCTTCCCTATTTGTACAGGATATACTCCAATGCAAAATTATAGAAGAACAATTCAACCAGCCAACTGAAGGAAATATGAAACTGAAGATAAACTTTAACTAAGGGTCTAGTTTTGGAAGTTGCTTAACATCCTCTGACTGAATTACAGTTAGTGTTCTAAAAACAAAACGCTTTGTTTGGATCTGCAAACATTGCCATTAGGATGGCAAAAGATAAATACCGATACTAAAGTAGGATCTTGCTCTACAAAGTGAAATTAACTGATGTAAATTGTTCTTTATGACATGCAATAAAAAGTATTCTATATTTTCAACCCATCTTTAAAATCTAATTCAAGATTACATAGAAGAAATTTCTTATCTGATCTTACATATGAAAAAAAATACTGTCATCTGATTAAGAGGTTGAAAAGTTACATTTTTCCAAACAAGTATAACTTGCTTTGTTTCCGATACAAATTACAAAACCAGCTCAAAATCACAAATACTGGGAAAGACTGCTGACTTTCTCAGGTGGCATTACTCCTCATGCTCCCTCCTCCTGTTCATAGAATTCTGGGATGTGCAGACACAATTTTTGGCATGGGGCACACTTTTCATTAACAATAAAATATAATACTGCCCTGTAGCCATAGGTGACCCAGATGCAGGACGTGCTGGAGTTCAGTCACATGTTTATATTGCACCCCATCTGCTAAAATCTCAGTGATGTGCCACACTTGATATTTCTACTTAACTTGTGGTTTCCATTATTTTATTCCAAATAACTCAAAGCTGTTTGTCTCTGCAAAAGGCATGCCTTTTCTTAACAGCCTGGTCCACCGATGAAAACTTGGTTATCACCACAGCAATCACTTCCACATTCAGGAGACAATGATATAAACACCGGATTGTGACACCGCTGACTAATCTGCCGGTCACAATCTAGACTCTGCAACACCACTTGTAGGTGTATTTATGTGATGTCACTAACTGGGTTGCATCACCACCACGTAAAATCAGGCAAGAAGCACAAAGGGATTTAGCAGAGCTTTGGCTGGGGCATAAAGCCATGCCAGCCCGGTGGGGCAGTGCTCTAGCAGGACTTCCCTTGCCCTGTGCTGACTGGCCTTCCCTCCAACTTCTTCCTTCTCTCAGCCCTTTCACCTCAAATTCACTGCTCTCCACCACCTCTCATGCCCTTCCCTTAACCTTTCCCTCTGCCTCAGTCCTTCCTTCAGCATTCTCCTTCCCCTCTTCAGGCATTTCTTTCCTTTTCAATGGATCCTACTCAAAACACAGAAGGAACCCTGCCACACATACATCATTGGCACCCATCAGGCTGACCACCGTCCCATCATGCTTGCCCTTCTTCCCAGTCTGTCTTTTGACACTGCTGTATAGAGAAACTGGGTTTTATTCTGGACAAGAATTAGCTACTGCTATGACTTACCTAACAAATATGGGTTTAAAATCTCATACCTGATAATTATCAGCTACATGCTCTGGTCATTCACACCTTTGTAATAAACAAACAAGTTGCATCAGGTTTGTGGCAGTACTTTTGATTTCACAAAACAAAGCAGGGAGTCAAAACAAGATACTTTTTGCTTAATGTGAAACCCTAAGATACAACAGCTGGGCTGCAGAGCTGGATGTGAAGAGAAGGGAAGCTGTGCTTTCCATTACATAGCACACCACACAAGCTTTCCTCCTCTGCCAACAGGCCTGTGGCTGCTAAGGATAGACCTGCAAAAGTGAGCCTAAAGCTGATCACTGACCCTTGCAGAATAAGCCTGGAGACATCAATGAGATTAAAAACAAAACAAAAAAAAAACAAAACANAAAAAAAAAAAAAAAAAAAAAAAAAAAAAAAAAAAAAAAAAAAAAAAAAAAAAAAAAAAAAAAAAAAAAAAAACAAAAAAAAAAAAAAAACAAACAGAGTTTCCACAAACTCAGTTGAAACTGAGGCAAAAGAAAGCACAGTGGAAAGAAACAGATGAGTAACAGTGGACAAGGAAGCTGGAAATGCCTTGTAAGAAAGAGATGGAAGAAAGGTATAGCAATAAATGAAAGCACAATGTATGAGATACTGAACAAAGAAACAGTCTGCTTTCCACTTTAGTCATATCCTTATATGCAATCTTGCAAACATTCCTTAAAGATTCCCCTTTTAATTTTGTATTTATTCCTAAAGATAATGTAAATACTGTTAAAAAGATATAAACTACTCAGGGTCAAGAGATGCAGTTCCATTAGCCAGACTGAGGACACTGAATTTACTACAATATATATTTACCTATTTTGCAGCAGCCTATATATTACAAAAAGTCAGCCTGAAACCTAAAATTTTACTGATGATAAAATGTTTAGCACGTCGTCCGGTTTCACCGAACACTTTACCACCTTTGGCTGATATTGTGTTTCCTCTGGGAGTGCCTGCTGTGTCCATGGGTCCTGCCACACGGGCCCACACTGGTGTAGCCAGAGGACGGTGTGTGCAGGTCCTTTGCTGCCCACTGTTCCCTGACCAACCCACTGTGCCCTGCAGCACAGAAGCCACGCAGCTGCCCAGTTAGGAGTTATGAATGGCCTGGGTCTCAGTTCAGGAAACAATGGTTTGCCACAATTTTATATCAACACAGCACAACAGAAGCACCCCAGGATCGTGACATGGGCACTGAACACGCTTGGGTGGCATTGTTACAAAGCAATGGCAGGATCTGCAGCTGGTGAGCAAAGCCACCAGCTTTGGGACAATGGGATGGTCTATGAGCTGACACAGAGTACTGCTACAATAGAGAGCAGCCATATGAGATTACCAGAGGAAAGTGCTTGTATCTTCTTCTAAAATCACCTCATGTACTGCTGGAGGCAGAATGTAGATGCCAAGGGCGGAGGAGGCATGTTCTGGCTCTGGAAATGCTGCCATTAGCAGTTGAACAAGGGCAGCAGTAACCTCACATGAGGACACCAGCTTCCATCTCCTGTTCTGGTAATCCTTACTCTTGTCCACCAATTCAGCAGCATCCTAGCAAAAGGAGCAGTGAAAGATTTTTCACATATGCCTGTTTCCACATCTTGGCATCCCCTTTATGCTCTCCCTCATCTAACCTAGCCAGGGACAAAGAGCTTCACACATGAGGAGCAACACTGCTGTAACCAACACACACATGAACATGCTCAGCCAGGAAATATGTACAACCATATGTGCTGGGAAGCCCATTCCATTTTGGATCAAAATAGAAGATTCATTACACAGAGTTATCGTTACTTTTCTCCACACATGAAGAATAAAACTTACTCAACCTGACATGGGGAAAGGACAGATGATCTAGGGGGCAGACACCTTTGGGGATTAATTTGGGGATTTAACATATCCAGACTTTACCTGCCCCAAAATCCCTGTGGGCCCTGGCTCTTTTGCTCCCAGCCCTCCCTCCCCATCCTTTTGACAACTTATTACAATATCCTGAATTTTTTATTCAGAACAAGCAGGTCTTATTTGACCAAAACAGGAGAAAAGTCATTTGAGGAAGGACTTTTGAGATTTCCAAGGTGTTATGAGAAAGCAAGATACTCATTGGCTTGCCTGCAATAGTGCATGAAATTTTCTTAAATCTTCTACACATGATTGTTTCAGGGGTTGTGCTAAAAATGGTATAGAAAATATGTAATCGCAGTGAAGCCCATGCAATACACTATGACAAATAAATTAGACCAGCATTGCTTACAGGCATTGTGCTAATTATCATTCTCTGGCTAAATCAGGTTCAGGGCCTTCACTTTGTGCAAGTGAAATACCTCCCCTTCATGTCTGGACAACAGCAAAAACTTTCAAAACAAAAATGTATTTGACTGAGATTCATTTCATAGTGAGAACACAGACACACTGATGTAGTGAAAAACTAGTAAGGGTAAAATACCAGTTTTGCTAAAGGCTGTGCCTTTCAAAAGAAAATGAAACATCTGTCGTATTTCTCCAGCAGAAAACAACAGAAAGCTTGCATTTAGGAGAATTTGTAAAGCCAGGTTACTTTTGCCCATTTAAACACTTTTTTTTCTAACACATAAAATAGGAAAAAGTGAAAAGTCA